CGGCAGCGGCGCCAACGGAGGGCAGTGCCGGCCGCCCCTGCCGCGCTGGACCCTCCCCGCGGCCGGGAGCCGGGTAGAAGCCCTTCCTCTCTTCCTATAAATCAGTGGGCCTGCACTCACCTCTGTTCCTGTTCCCCGCCCATCCTTCAAGCTGTGGAAATGGCAGGAACGGAACCTTCGAAAGCGCCTAGGAAATTGCAAAATCCTGGCTATTGCCAAGTTTCTGGTGATGACGCCCGGGCGGAGACGCAGGAAGGGGACAGGGTCTCCAAGGGCGGCTCAGGTGTGGGAGGCGCGCGGGGAGCCGCGAAGGCGGGGAGCGCTTGTGCCAGCAGACTGCTCCCCGGGCTCAGGTGGGCGCGGACGGGGGCGCCGCGGGACCCGCAGCAGCCGAGCGGCGAGCTGAACTGAGAGCGGCGCGCTGGTGTGTGGAGGAACACCTAGAACTGTGGGTCTGTGTTTGTTTGTTTGTTTGTTTGTAATTAGCGACGAGGTTAGTCATTCTCCAAAAACTTGCAAGACTTGATCATCTTCATTTTAAGTGTAAAACTGGGCTCAGTTTCCCACCTTGAGAGAGGCCAGGGACCCGCACGCAGAGAAACCGGAACTCGAACCGGCTCCGCTCACTGCCTGGCTCCGGCCTCCTCCAAGCTCAGTACTTGCTCAGCAGGAAGTTTTCCAGCTCTCAGGCGCGCCCCCTAAGCAGCGGCCGGTTCACTCCTCGACGCAAAATCCTCGCTGAATTGTTGCCCAATCAGAACTAGTTCAGCCTTGCCCCGCCCTTGATTCCTTGGGTAAGTGGGGGGGGGGGGCTCTACTCACTTTATTCTATAACTGTCAGGTTTATAATTAACCAAGCAAGGTCTTGCAAAATGAATTTCTCATCAGTTTCTCGCTCAGAAGGAGGTCAGCAGGATGTAGTATTACCTCAGCACCCTGAAATGTGACTTGTTTAATAAATAAGTGATCATCATTTATTAAATATCCTCCTTGATCTTTTAAATCAGATCGCAGCAATTCTGAGAGACTCCATGAGAGTAACATTAGTTAAAGAATATGCCTAGCCAGGCATGGTGGTGCATGCCTGTAATCCCAGCACTCGGGAGGCTGAGGCAAGAGAATCATTGCGAGTTCGAGGCCAGCCTGAGCTACAAAGTGAGCTCAAGGCCAGCCTGAACTGCATAGCGAGACCCTGTCTCAAAAAGACCAAAAAAAATAAAAGTCCAGGGATATAGCTCAGTGGCACAAGCGCCTGACTGGCAAATGCAAGGTCCGGAGTTTTCTTCCCGGTAAAAAAAAAAAAAAAGCCTAGAACATAAGAATATACTGTAACCTTGAGACTTGAAAGTTTTTGAAAATACTATCATCTACATTCCCTGGGAAAAGGTACCCTGTTGAATGATTAGTACACAAGGTCCATCTCATCACCTTCTGGCAGTCAGCACTGGAGAAATAATTTATGACCCACTCTATCTATCAGCTCTGTAATTTCATCTTTGAGAATCTCAAGATTCCACAACCCGTAGTTTCTTTCCAAAAGCACACTGTGTAAGGAATTCTCATTTTTTAACACATTATTTTATTTAATTTTCACAATAACCTTTTGAGAAAGTTTTTCTGGGGGGTGTATTTGTTTTGTTTTGTTTTGTTTTTTTAGACAGAGTCTCACTGTGTAGCCCAGGCTGGCCTTGAATTCACAGCAATCCTGAGAGGAAGTTATTCTCACTTGACAAAAGAGAAAACTAGGTCTGAGAGTTTTTTAGAAGCTTGCCCGAGAGATCTGGGTTCAAACCTCTCTTGCTCCAGAGAGCCTGCCCTGGGAAAAGATGATTCAGAGGGGAATTTCACTTTGCTTCACTTTTGGAGAATGACAATGCTATACCTGTGGACATATCATGTAGAAAGTCTGTGGGTTTCACAGAGTCTCAGAAAAGAGATTATGACAGGAAGCCAACAACAGGGAATTTATTCATAATAAAAACTTTAAATTACAGTCTGGACAAATTATTCTTGAGTACATTTCAATTTTAAGGTACAGATTTTTTTTTAAAAATTTTGATCTTTTTTTTAAGGTACAGTTTAAGAATGCAAGATGCATTCTAGAAAGGAGAAACTTAGAGGTAACATGTTTTGACTAAAGAGCAAAACCTGAGAGGTGAGAAATCAAGCCTAGTGTTGGAATATCCAAACTCGGTCCTCAGCATCGCACACAGCACAGAGACGGTTGAGGTCCCAGCGGCTTTAAGAGGCATAGGGGTACTTCCAGCGCAGAATGGCCCCGTCGGCACTTACACTCACAATGAACTTATTTCCTGGGCTTATCCGGACACGAGTGATGTTGCCGCTGTGTCCCATCCCAACATGAGTCACTTCCCCCTCGTTGTAATCCCAAACTTTAACCAGATGGTCATTTCCACCTGAAAAACACAGTTATGTGGCACTGTGGCATAGAAACAGCTCTGGTTCCAAACAACCGGATCATTTTCAACACATTCCCCATCTACCAACTTAACGAAAAATCTATAGACATGTAATGCTTTTGCTGGGTTATAAAAAATCCACATGTTGCAGTAAATTTGGGGGTGAGGATATACAAAGAGGTGACGTCACCCTTCATCCTACCAGCTAATAGCATTTTGGTGAAGTTCCTCACAGTCAGTTCTCTAGCGGTGTTCTGGTGTACGCATATATCTGGATATGTGATTGGAATCGCACTGTGTTTAGCTCTTCCTGCTTCCAGTCGATGTGTCTGTGAAACTTTAGTTCACTGATGTTGTTCCAGTTGGCATGTCGTGTGGCAAATGTCTCCCTGGCATGCTGGTTAATTCATTTATTTGGCGGAGGGCACCATATCACTCAACAATGAATGGAAACGAAAGAGACTGCTTGAGCCGGGCATGGTGGTACATAAGTGTTATCCCAGCACTCTGGGAAGCAGAGGGAGAAGGGTATCAAGTTGAGCCCAGTTGGGCAACTTGGTGACTTAACAAAAACCTGGGTCAAAATACAAAAATTTAAAACGGGCTTCAGATGCAGCTCATTGAGAAGGACCTGGGTTTGATCCCTAGTACTGACAAAAAAAATAATAATAGTGTATAGGACTTCAGTAGAAAACAGTTTAGAAAGGTAATTGGACGGCCTAGGACAGTGGTGGTGAACCTATGGCATGCATGGCATAGTGGGCTGTTTGTATCACTGAAAGTTCTAAAAGGTTCGCCATCACTGGCCTACGACATAGAAAGGCCTATTTCCATCATCAGTGCCCACAGCAAAAAGCAGCGTAAGGCCTACCTTCTATTTGTGACTTATGCAGACATTTCCTGTCTTTGAAATGTGACTTTGGGATTTTTCTCTTCCAGCCACACTGGCTGTCCTGCTGAGATTTGAATCCCCCTGAACACCTTTTGCTAGCTCTTCCAACAGCCTCCCTCTAAATAAGCCACAGTTTTCTTTTCATATCCCAGGACGAACCTGTGACAAAGTGTGCTCCTTCCTGTGTGATATCCATACCGTTTATTGACCCAGACAAGGCGCCTTCCAACTCTCGGATAACCGTCCCATCAAATACTTCCCAGTAAGCGATCTGGAATTCGGGAAGGAAGCATTAGGCAGGAGTCAGCTCCGAGGAATTCTCCCTGCACATGCTAACAAAAGATGGCTTCACTTTATATAGAAGGTAGCAAAAATACATCATGGGATGGTATTGGCTGAAATTATAAATAGGCTACAGCAGGGGGTGGAGAACCCATTCTAATATTTTTAGTATTGGTCTTTAAATTTGCATACTATTTAAAGAGATGTTGATATGCTGATAAACCTGGATTGGGACAGAAAGAGCTTTTGATAAGACTAAGCAGATTGAGTCTATAGCAAGATGTAAAATAAACAAGAGACCAGCCCCTGCTTCTGCTTCTGCTTCTGCTCTCAGAGGAGGATAGCAAAGCTGCAAGCCTTGTGGGAGAAAAAGTTCCTTCTTTCCGGTGTGGGTTGAGGGGTTGGGAAAGATCACAGCTGAGAGTTCTGTCACCTTACACAGCCACCCACCCCACTCCAGCTGGACTCTCCCTCTTCTTGGAACCACCCTTATTCCCAACTTCCCCTTCAGCCCCAAAGCAATAAAATATTCCACAGGGTGGGGTTTAAGGACAGACTGATAACCTTAGTCCCTCCGGGGAATGGGAATTAGGTAGGAGGGAGAGGCAGGTGGGTGTGTGGGGGACACTTTTCTCTGAATTTAGAGTCATAGTTATGCATGGGTATCAGCCAGAGGCTATATTTCAGGGCCCTCCAAGTCTGTGAAAACCAGTGAATACTCAAGCCCCTTATATGATATGGTATAGTATTTGCATAGAACCTATGCACACCCTACATTTTTGCCTTTTTTTTTTTTGAAACGTGGTCTTGCTAGGTACCTTCCAAGTGCTGGGATTACATGTGTGTACCACCATGCCTGGGATCCTGTATACTTGAAATAAGCTCTAGATTACATATAACACAATACAATGTAAATACACTGTTATAATATGTTGTTT